CCAAAACTCTCAAAAGACCTGGAAAATAGAAAGAAAATTTACAAATTAAGGATATTAAAGCACCTTCAAAATTTGGTACGTTATCGCATATATAATCTCCGACGCACTTTTCTTAAGGTGAAAACATTTTACCACTGTCCGTCATTTATCAGGTCTTGTCAGTACTTCTTTAGAGAGTTCTATGAAAAGTAATAGAGGATTTTTTATAGAAGATAGTGATATTTTTCCTGCAATAATGCGTTTGAATTATGAAAATAAATATCACTTAAATAGAGTAAGTTTAATAAAAATTTTTTATGTTAGCTGCGTAAATCAAGATATTTGAAAGAAAATTCTTTTTATAACTATCAATATCTTCCATAAGTCTTTCTGTGAAGCGGGATGTAAAATTGCAGTGACATCGGGAGCAGTAAAATCGAGAAAGAAGGATAGCCAGAGGAATATATTAAGAATAAGACAAGGATAAGTGGTATAAAATGTGATATGTAGGAAAGGGTAGAGCATTATGAAGGACCATCGAAATGAAAACGAGTTAAATTTATGGAGTGAATCTAGTATGACCTCTTGGACGGAAAACAGCAGTTGAGCTGTGACCTCGAAGAAAATTTTTATGTATCTACGGGTATATATATCTATATATACGTTCATAACAATTTATCACGTACGAAACAAAGTATATAAATTCATGCAATTCCATTATTCTGTTTCTTTAGCACTTGAAATCATTTTATATTTTATATTTTTTGTCTATCTGGCTCTCAACTATCTCGGCAACTCTCACCTCGCTTAGAACTATTCAACTGAGCTTTTATAACCACACATAAACCATCACATACTTGCACTAAACTCAAAAAAATTAGATAAAAACTCTTCGAAAAATTCGACGATAACAATAGTAATAATACAAGAAGCACATACATCAGCTTCTTTTTTCTTGTTTTTATTATCAAATTCTTCAAGTTACTGTCGTGAAATTTATCTTTGTGTTCCAAGATGAAGATAAAAAGAAACCACTAAAATTTATTGCTCGTCTCTAAAACCTGATATTTTTTACTTTTTTTTTTTATATTTATGACTGAATTTTTAAAATGTCGTCAAATATCGGTCGGTCGTATTTTGACTTTTCATCTAAATTTTTATATCCTGTATCAAACACATTTGCGTAAGTCCATAAAATACTTAAATATATGCTTATTATGAAATTAAAATTAATTTTTTTTCCTGATAAAAATTTAATTCATTCCCTGAAAGAAAAAAAAAACTAAACTTAGCCTTTATATTATTTGAACTTAAATAATCTATATTATAGTGTGTTGAATTGATTATTTCATTACTTAGATAAAAATACAGTGATTTTCATTATTTGAAAGCTTATACATCAAACATTAGTAACTTCATTTTTAGATACAAAATTTAACTTATACAAATTTGAGACGAGACATAGAGTTGACACTAAGAAAAAAAAAAAGTGCGTGCGTACAAAGTACACATGTCAGAAGTGAAACTTCTTTGGCAAACTTATTTTTAAATCTCGTTTATATTTTACTAATCTAAAGCTTTAGATTTCCGAGAGTTAGAGGGAGAGAAAAAGAAAGATATTAGGAATTTAATGAATCTAATCTATATTATTAAGAGCTGAACAAGCGGAATTTTGTGGCCAGTGTATTTATATGATAAAATGCGTTTTTATCATTAAATTTGGTATCGTTAAAAAGGTCTTGACCTGAAGTTGTACTTTTTTAATGTTTCATATGCTTTTCTAAAATAGCTTATTTACTGTGATAAGTTTTCGAAGTAGTTATAAATAGATTCAAATTTGGCGATAAACAAAATTTGTTTATTTATATTTATTTTGTTTTGTACACGTGAATTTGGTTATAAGTCAATAATTAATTTATATAATTAAGAGACTAAGAAAAATTCAGCAACGGGTGTATCATTATCGTAAATTGAGTTTGATATTTTTTAGTGATAGTTATTTTCAATTTAAGTAATTGAGAGAGAAAGGAAATTTTGTGACGAGCATATATTATTATTATTAAAGAAATTTTTATAGTTTAATTCGGCATCATCAGAAAGGTCGAGACAAGAATTAGTGCCTTGTCAAAGTTTTATATATTTTTCAGTGAAAGTCGATTTTTTATTTTAAGTTTTTAATAGTTTTTTGGTTTTTAAATTTGCTTGGTCACATTTGTTCATTAAATTATTTGTAATTGATCTGATGATAGCACTATCAATTTTTAAATCCTTTAGTAAAAAGTTGATGTGACGTTTTCATTGTTGTCGCTTTTCGTTGCCATGGTTATCGTTGCTATGGTAACCGTCACCATAGTAACCGTTGCTATGGTAACGGTTGCTATAGCGAATTTTTTCCATGAAAATAATCATAACATTTATTAAATAGTTGATGTGACGTTTTCAGTGTTGTCGCTTTTCGTCGCTATGGTGACCTTTTTTGGCAATGGTTATCATAGCAACGGTTACCATGGCAACGGTACCATTACCAACGGTTAAATATTAATGAGTAAAATTTGTGAAAATATTGATTATTTAAATTGTCGATAATAAAAATTTTGAACCTAAAGGTTGAACCTAAAGGCCATCCCTGCAACTTCCCGCTAACTCCATATCGAAGCGTTCAACATTTTACTCATGTTGTTTTTGAGCTCTTCGAGCTCAAAAATATAATTTTTGTGTTATTTTTGGCTCTCCGAGCTCAAAGAGATAGCGGTTGTATGCTTTTGAGCTCTTCGAGCTCCGGATGGTCCGGATGGTCTTAGACTAACTTAAATTATCTCTTATAATTACTTGGACTTTTCGGTCCCTCTTCACCCCCATCTTTACAACATACTCTATACACTCTTACCTTCACTCGCATTCTCACTCACAGGTTACTATATTTTTAACAAAACTTAAAGAGTAACTATATTTTGAAATCTGGTGACAGCATGTCGAGTAGTACTGACCTTTAATTTATCCTTTGATTTATGACCACTGATTCTTGTTTTTAAACTAGGGTAAACCGTCCAGTCCGTGACCGCCCGCCAATGAATGACCGGTAATGAAAATAATGATTATAAAAATCCAAAAATTTAGTTAACTGTCAATGTTCAATCATAATTGTAATCTTACATATATTTTTCAATATTTAATATCCACGAATTAAAATAATTTAAAAGTGTATTTTCAAAATTCATAAAAATTATATCGAGAATCCGAGAACTTCTAGAAAACTATAAAATTTTGACAAAACTCTGTGAAAACGGCTACTTAGAAAACTGTGAATTTTAGTTATAGATAATTACTTTTTGTCCAAAATACAAAATTTATAGACATTTGTGTAGATAAACTAATATTAAAATTGACCTAGCGCGCAGTAGCCTATCGGATCCGGCCTTTGCTACCAAAGCATTGGACCGGGTTCGAATCCGGCGTACACCAATGAATATTTTCAATATTTAAGTGTATTATTCTGCTCAGCCCAAGAAATACAAACGAGTTCCAATCTCAAAAGTTTACCCCCTACCGTAGTCGCTCATGACCTTAGTAGTTTATGCGACTTTAAAAAAATTAAAAAAAAAAAAAAATTGACCTATGATGGATATAATTTAACTTTATAATTTATTTATATTAATTTGGCGTCGGTCATTCACTGGCTTATTTGATAAGTGTGCTTTGCTAGTAAATGACTGACTAGTCATTTATTGGTAAGTTCGATATTTGCTACTACCAGTGAATGACCGTACGTTTATTTTGCTGTATTATCTTAAACACTTGCATAATATGTGATAACAGATTAAATGTGATAGAGTAAAAAATTATTCATATATATAAAAACTTTTTAAATGTCAATTATATGTTAAGTTTATGGATACTTTAATTTAAAGTAAATATGTTGAATGTGCTTGATTTATTTTCATTGTACATGGAAAGAAAATTATGGGAGCTATTCCTATACCATTATGGGAACTAATCCCATAATATTATGGGAACTATTCCTATTATATTATGGGAATGGTTCCCATAATGCTATAGGAGTCATTGGGGCTACCACATGATACATTCCTGTGGAAGATACATGACTTTCATGTGACAGCAACATGATTTTCATGTGGTAGTCAATAATAGTTAAAACAACATCAATAATAATTAAATAATAATAATAATAATAATAATAATAATAATAATAATAATAATTTACATTATTAAGAGAATAAGAACAATTTTGTCTCCTGAATAGTCACATGATGAAATCGATTTTTCTAGTGAAATTTAGTGTCATTGCAAAGGACATGACTTGAATTTGTTTCTTTCCAAGGTTTCATATCATTCTCGTCAATAGTCATTTATGATGATAGATATTTATTTTGAGAATGATTCCCATAATGGTATAGGAATGATTCCTATAATATTCTAGGAATCCTTCCCATACCATTATGGGAATAGTTCCCATAATGATATAGGAACCATTACTATATCATTATGGGAATATTTCCCATAATATTATGGGAATGGTTCCTATAATTGTATAGGAATCATTCCTATAATTATAGGAACCATTCCCATCGTTATGGGAAATGTTCCCATAAAATTATGGGAAAAGTTCCCATATTGTTCTTTCCGTGTACTAAATAAATAAAAATTTTATTGTTTTATAAACAATCATTAGTTTCTCATTCATGTAAAACAAATCCCTATGAGAAATAATTTTAAAGTTGTAATTTATAAATTTGCACATTGGTCATTCACTGGATTGAGCCTGGTCATTCAATGGAATAGTACGGTCATTCACTGGGTTTTGTATAATCAGACTCATTTTATTAAATTTGTAAAATATGCGAAGATAAAGAAGACAATATTATTATAAAAATCGAAATAAAAATAATTTATGAATACAATTAAAACGGTCAAGTTAAGTTTTGAAGTTAATTATGACTAACAATAAGCTAAATTATCAGTACCGGAAACAAATCGGTCATTCACTGGCAGGTTTACCCTAGTTAGTTTTCTATGAAATTTATTTTTAACAAAATAAAGAAAAAGCTTTACCTTTTGTTTTGGGATCATCTTTTTTAATTCGTACAATATCCATCAGTTTGTGTATTAACATTTGTACATGCTGACAACATCTCACTGGATTCTTTACAAAATCTAACGCATCATTAATACTTATTGCATTACCGGGATTTATTTGTTCTCTGTCTTCTTTTGTAAATTCTCTGTCTTGTTGTAATAATTCGTGTAATTTTGTTTTCACCCTAGAATTATTTATACTATTAATAAAATGTACACTATAAGAATCATAAAATTTTGCACTTATATCTTAATAATTACTTTATTTTTTCGCATTGAAATTATTGATAAAAAGAAATTGTAAAGACTTACATATTTTGATACTTGCTACTATCACAATCATTATCCAATAATCCATTAGTATTAGCACTTTTAACCATTTGTACTAAAATCGGGGTGAGTTCACCCTCCAACGCTAACAATCCTTTAGCGAAAGCAGCAGCAGTCATCTGAACTCTTCCTTCATCGCTCGCGTAAATTTTCAAATCATGTCGGAATGTTGAATGTAATCTCAATAATCCAAGACCTTGAGCGCCTGCATATTCTCCTTTAAACAGGAATTAAAATTATTATTAACTACTACTACAACATAGAAGATTGATAATATTAAAAAAAAATTATTTTATAATTAAAGTATCAAAGAAACTAGTGTAATCGGCTAAAATAAATAAACTGCAGTCAATGCTAGTGATAAACATACTGATTACAAATAGTTGATTTAACAATAATGATAAAATAAAAGATGATTTATAAAAAGCATAAATTAGCGCATGATACGAACCACTAAGGTGTCTACCTTGACCACCTGGATACATGCAACGAAAAATGCGGCCCAATTCTTCTGCTTGAATTCTTCCGGCTGGTGTCAACTCACCACCCCATTTCAATATCAATACTAGTGATGGTTCACCCAAACGATCTACGAGAAAACATTCAATTAAATCAACATTATTTTTTTTTTCAAATGCTCAATTGATGATCGTAATGACTAATGACTACAATGAATTGAAAATGATGACCATACTGTAATTGTTACCGTCATCGGACGAGCTTCCGCGTGGTCTACCACGTGGTTGATACTTCATTTGTACTTTACGATTGATTCCTGAAAAATGCCCGTACCTAAAACCAAAATAATAAAAAATTTTATAAATTTTCTATTCATTTAAAAATTTTGAAGATTACTTACATTTCCAAGACACTTTTAAGTTGTTCCAATTTTCCCTGCTTTTCTTCCAACTCGGGCCCAGCAGCACGGTGTTGAATTTCAGTCAGCAAACTCCTCGCAGTGTCTAATATCTCTTGCAACTGTTTAGGCCTTTTTAATTTAACATGACCGTGTTTATATCCATCGTATTTTTTGAATATCTCAAAAAATTTTGGATGCCGCACTTCAACTTTCATTTTTTGTTTTGGAGTACGGTCACCGTGTCTGATTACCGCTACCACACATCGCAGTTCCATCCTTGAAAGTATTTTAAATAATTCAATTTATTTTAATTTTTTTTAATTGTATCAAGAAATTTTGAAATTGCTTACATTTTTCCAAATGTTGTTGGTACAATTGGCGGGTCATCTAATTGAAAAGGCACACTCCACGGTATATGTAACGTTGGTGCTAGTTCACGTAGTATCATGTTGCCTAATATTTTAGCACAGTCATCGTAATATTTATTTGAATTTTTTACAAAACTAAACCCGTTGACATCACATACAAATGATTTCCCGTTGGCTCTAGAAAAATTATCTTTGATAATTATTTACAAGTGGGATCCACCATTTTAATTTTTATTTTTTTGAACGAAATTTCTATTTGATTTTATTGATATATTTTTTTTTGAAAAATACATAAAAAAATGAACAATTAAAAAAAAAAAAAAGTTGATCATCACAATTTTAACAAATTTTCAAAAAAATTTATAAATTTATAAAAAAACAAAAAAAAAGATAAAATAGAAATTTTATCCAAAAATATGAGAGCCAAAATTTTTTCCAACTTTTGAAGGCAAAAAAGCTATCGAAATCTTCATTTTTTTCTTTTACGACATTTTTTATCATAAATGCACCGTAAAAACAAGCAGAATTAGAAAAAAATTTCAATTTTTCACCTAGATATGGCCAAAAGTAGGGTGGACCCCACTTGTAAATAATTACCGAAAAATTGACTAAGTTATTCGCTCCTCCTTGATTAAAAAAATTGAAAAGAATGAGATTTGATTTCATCTAAATAAATCCAATTTCTCGGTTTTTTCGCTTATCCATAAAATCAATTCCATTCAACCTTATTTAACCCATACATGATTCAAGAATTATTAAACCCGTGAGGAATTAAAAAAGATTGAAACAAATTCGCAGTTATGAATTTTTCTGAATTCTTTTCAATGAATAAATAATATGACATCGTGCAATAGACTAGAGAGGTGCGAATTTTGAGAACTATACTCGAACTATACTTATGAACATCAATAAAAAATAATAAAATTAAAAACCTGAGAAGATCAAATCCACAAACAGTCTGTTTGAAGGCAAGACAAACTTTTCGACTAATTAATTTCTCAGCATTGCTAAGGATAACCGGATAGCGTATTTCTTTTCCCTCAGAATCTCTTTCAACTTTTCCATCCAAGGCTGGGCTTTTCCTTGCCTCCGCATGAGCATAATCAGGTCCTACTGTATAAACTTTAACGTCGGTACCGTCAGTGGGCATAAAGTCTTCGTAAATATAGGAACCAGTCTTACGGACACGGGATTCTGGTGAGTAAACACTGCTTCGACTCCCAATCTATTTATTAAAAAATATTCAAATTTTTATTAAGTAAAATTGAATAATTCATAAACACTTACTTTACGAAACAATCTTTGACTGCCGCCACCAGCAGAAGTCGGATAATAAATATAAATATTATGATCTTCAGCAGACACTGGCTTCTCCACAAATGGCTTATTGAATGTCACGCCGTTAACTTCAACATGATCTTCAGACTCAACTAGCTCGTGATCTGAAAAACAATCTTAGTTTTTTCCATGTCAAATTATTGAACATTCAACACAAAAAAAACAAAAAAAAAAGACAATGTTAATTAGCTTAGTTATATTAGTTGAAAAAATGCGTTAGTACCAAAGAAAATAATTTTAAAAAGAAGAAATAATAGTGGTTAAATTATTCATCTTTTAAAAAATCATCAAAACAATTATAAATAAATAAATGTACTCACGTTTGGGATCCGCTGAATCACGATCTAAAACGGCGTAACGAGGTATTTCAATTCCTTCGCTTTCTAAAATAGCATAAACTCGTCTTCTATCCTGTAATTCAAGTTAATTAGTTATTGACTAATAGTGATATTTGTATTCTAATACATTAATTAATCAAATAATCGATTACAAAAGAAAATATATTCCTTGGTGGCATCAAAATTAATATGATTTTTTGTTAAGTATTAGTAACATCTAACATTTTTTAGGTATAAGTTGATTTACGCATATCTAAAATCAAGAAAGGTTGTCATTTTTTTTTACAAATCTAGGTGCATCCTCTTATGAGAAAAAATATTTAGATTTTAAACAAATCATGTTTCTTGATTTTAGATGTATGTAGATAACTTTTTAGTCAAAAGTTTTTCATAAAATTTTATAAGACTTTATAAAATTTCATAAAAGCAATACTTTCGAGTTTTGATAACAATATTTTGAAATTTTATAAAATTCTATGATAATTAGCACTAAAACGATTTCGAGGGTTATATAAAATAGCCCTGTATCTGTCTCGTTCGTTTGTTACTTGTCTCTTCTGTGATCCCCGTAATCTTTGAGTCTACCTGCGTTGCCAAATGTTTTGACAACGGTTACATACAGACGATGTTGTGACTGTTATATACAGTCGAAACTCGCTTTATAGGCCGGTCGCACCACGAAAGTACGAAAGAAAGCGAGGCTCTGTGCTGCCGGCCAGAAAATATGCGTAGCGCGCATGCGTAGAGAGCCGGCTGAGCCGGCCATAAATGTTGCTCTTCCTGGAGTAAAGTGCGTCCAGGATGAGCGTATTTTCGGCTAGGAGAGCAAGAAAAATAATTTATGAATACAATTAAAACGGTCAAGTTAAGTTTTGAAGTTAATTATGACTACAATAAGCTAAATTATCAGTACCGGCAACAAATCGGTCATTCACTGGCAGGTTTACCCTACTTAAAAATAAATGAGTAAAATGGAAATATTGTGAAAACCAATATTTTTTCGCTTCTACAGCAATTGCAATTTTAACAAGGTTAATCAAAGAGAACGAAAAATTTCGATTTTGATACTTTAAAATCGTAATGTATCGTAAATTTTATTAGGCTTTCGGTAAATTTCATAAAGTTTACCATAAAATAAATGAATTTTTTTGTAATTTTTATTTCAAAAATGGTAATAAATAAAAGGGCCGCATTATATCTCACGATTACAGTGAATTTGACGGTGATTTTTGAAGAAAATTTCTTTTTGTGTAGGATACAAGATCATAGATGAGACCGTTGAGAAACAGGGTCATTAACCTCCATAGGATGTCAGGGATTATTAAGCTTTACGCAGTTTTAATCGCCAAATTGAGACACGGCGAAAATAATTGTCATCCTCATGGCCTGGAGAACGCTTTGTGCTTGTTGAATGCTATTTTGGAGTGCAAGCCTACTCCGAAACATCTAAATGTATTGACTACAGTAATCCGTGACATTCTTCAAGTTTGAAATGCTGCAATACTCGCGGAAAATTCGGAAGAGTTTAATAAATTGTTTGGTAAAATTTCAACTCATTATTTTCTTAGTTTACAAGATATCGGGGTTGATGAACCCATTGAAAGGTTGATGATACTTCTCGAGGCATTTTAACGGATGGTAGTTTCCCGCAATTCAAAGGAGAGTTACTTTACCTATAATTTTAGGTACTATTAAATAGTTAATCTAATTGTAATTATTTATTTAAGTTTTTTGTACTTTTATTTTATATGATAGTTTCAAGTTGCATGGTAGTTTCAGATTATGATTGATTAAAAAGGCCGGCTAGGTCACGAGGGATATTTTTTGTTTGGATGTAGCTCTAACATTCGGTTGAAAAATACTCTTTTGGCTGCTGGCTCGAGAAGTAATTTCATAATTTAAACATAAATTTGTATAAATTTAAAAATCTATTAGTTCAAATTTATTAAAGTTATATGAAAAAAATGTTGTAAAGAAAAATAAAAACACTATTATGATTTTTTTCAGTTATTTATTTAATATCGTATTGTTATATAATGATTAATATAATACATTATTAGTTAAATTATTATTACTTATTCGTTTTTTATGCACCTATAACTTAATAATTCACAGTAAATTTAATAAATCATCAAATTATTTTTTTTCTGTTCGTGCATATATCATATCATATTACAATAATCGGATTATATCCCAGGATTATTTATCTATTTGCAGACAATTGCTTTAATGCTTACCTCAATCCCTTGGCAACACTTGACCTCTTACTTCTATGTGTGTTCCATTTTATTACAATACCATCACAATAATTACACCCACTTAACCCTAAATTACATCGTTATCTAGCAAATTCAATCGTTACTTTTCCAAAAACAGACTCATTATTATTCAGACTTTATAATACACAATTTTATTTATTATTAATTAATGATAAGTATATTTTTTAATAATCCAATAAATATAACATTTCATACGCTCTATATTAATAATAAAACACTCCAATATTTTTAATAGAAGCACCCGGGCATTAATTGAAACGTGCAACATAATTAAAGCTCAGAGCAAATAAACGAATAATAACATCATAAATCATATAAAATTCATTATGTTTAATTAATATTTATACAGATTTTTATTATGACAAGTAATTATGATTATGATTATACACAGAAATAATTGTTCGCGTTATTAAATATCTGATTATTATTATTATTATTTTTTGCGTTCTACGCGCTTCGGCTGGAACTTGTGTCACTTCTCGCTGTTCAATTAATCTACTTAATTATTATGGCGCTACAATTTACACTCTTATTAATACATTCATATTTTTTATATTATATAGAGTACAAGAAGATTTATTCTATGTTCATATTAATTGTCGTTTTTTGCTGTAAAAAATTAACGCTATTACAATTTTTCAAAATTAAATTATATGAATTTTTTGTCTGTGCTTGGTTGCTAATGATCTCATTGTTTTTATTACCAAACTGATTTTTTGTAATAAAAAAATTTTATTAACACCATTGCGAAAGATGAAATTGTTTTTTTTTTTTTTATGTGATACTAAAATAATTAATTAGTGATAAAATTTATGAAGAAAAAGATGGAAGACTTTGTAGATTAAAATTTTAAACGAAATTTTTTATTCGATGGTCAATATTTTTTTTTACGAGTTCAGTTTACTTAAAGTTTATTATTAAAATTTTAATATATTTATGTTATACATTTCGATTTATTATAAAAAATTTTTCATGTAAATTGAGTGGAAAAATACCATAAAACACGGTTTGTGAATTTTTATCAAATTGACATTAAATTCTCAAAAGCATGAACAAATTTTAATCTCAATACCTATATGTATAATGCGATGACGATCGTGTTTCCGATTATCTTGATACGCTGGTCTATAAATGCTTCGGTAGATTGAGAGCACGGCACAGTTATAGCCATTTATAGCAAATGATGACAAATGGATCTCTATAATGCTATTTGGATTGATAATGCAGATAGTTATTGTTCAAAACTAAATCCGTGCGATAATACAAAGCTATCTATTTAATAACAAAAAAAATCTACTTTGTATATTTCAGTATAATTCCATTATACAAATAAAACAAAATTGGAGTATTTAGTATCTTTTATCGGCAACTACTTTTGCAGCTTAGTAAACTATGAATAAGTTTAAATATTTATTATTAAGAAAGTTATTGTAATATAAAAGATTACTTCCAAAAAATTATATTTTTTATAACAATTCGAATATATTTTTTTTTATGTCCGAGAATGTATAAACCTAGTTATTGAATTGTTATTTAGTTAAGGTACACGGAGAGAAAAATATGGAAATCATTCCTATAATTTTAATGAAATATTTTCCTATACCATTTTAGGAGCAATTACTTAAATTATGGGAATTATCCATAATTTTTGGGAAACATTACTACAATTATGGGAATGGTTCCTATAATTATAGGAACGATACCTATAATTATAATTGTAATATCGGCATGATTCCCATAATATATTGAAGCTATTCCATTATTGTATAGGAACGTTTCCAATAAATTATGGGTATGGTTCCCATAATGAGTATAGGATTAATGCCTATAATGATAATTTTATTATAGGATCCATTCCCATAATTGTTGGAAAGATTCCTATAAATTTCTCTTCGTGTAGAAGTTCTTACTGTGATTGAAAAACAAAATAATAATGCAGTAACAGGTTCATTTAATTTATTGATAACTATTTTTAATATTACAATTATGTATTAAAGTTTTGTAAAGATGTATCTACAATAATTATCATTCAGCACATTGCATTGAAAGAAGAAATTTGTTCATTAGTGATGAGCTTGAGCTCTGTTTCACAAATCATAAACTGTACTATTAATTCTCTGTACAAATTGATCGATCATATTTATAGAGCTTTGTATGCGCCTTAGTTTAGCGTTTTGGTTCTGGACTTCACTTGTAAGATCGCCAACTCTCGTTAGCAGATTTCTCAATTGTTGCGCTTCGGGAGATTCTTGAGCGGGATCCTGAGTGCTGGCAGTTTGACTACTTTTAATCGATTGCTGGGTTGAGTGTGGCAACTGAGATGGATAGTCTGTGTTTGCTTGATAGGTTACCGCTCCATGAACGTTTTTTAAACTGCTATTAGAGTTTTGAGCTCGAAGAGCTCAAATTGACACAAAAATAATATTTTTGAGCTCGAAGAGTTCAAAAACGTAGTATGTAGTTTGAAGCGTTTAAGTACAAAATGAGCGGGAAGTTGCAGGGATGGCCTTTAGGGTGAACCGTTTTTCTAATTTTTTTAATCTTAAATGGTATATATGCTTGTAAATAAAAATAAAACTAATTAAGAAAAAAAAAGTTAATTAAAAAAAAAATTTCTTTAAAAAAATGAAATTTCCAATTGTTTTGAAATTCCAAGTTTTCAAATGTTTTCGCGGCTCAACGTATGTATTGTAAATAAATAATTTGCTTTAAAAATAAAATGAAATTGTGAAAATAAACAATGAATTCCCATATCTATTTTGCTCCTACAATTGTATAGTGAGAAAATATCCTT